ATTTAATATCATTAAATATTTACTAGCACATCCATTCCTTTGATTCCATAGTTTTATCTGAGGATTCTGGGTTTAGATCCTGGCTCCTGCTCTGGTCTTTGGACTTTTACCTCTCTGAGCCTCAGTTTCAACATTTGTGAAATGGGTATAATCACACCACTTGGAAGTAGGTTTGCAAGTAGTAAATGAAGTAATGTATGCAAAACACTTAGAGCAGTACTTGACATAGTGTGCAAAATTGAAAAATGTTAATTCTTTCTTGATTTCTAGGCAGCTTGGAGACTTAGATTCTTAGCTACACTCTGTCATTTTCTGTACAGGATGCTAGGTGTCTTAGTTATTTTTCTCATTGCTGAGACAAAATACTCAATATCCAGAGTTAAAGGAGAAAGGTTTATTTGGCTCACAGTTTGTAGAGGTTTTAGTCCATAGTTGGCTGGCTCCAAGGCAGGGTGGCGTGGCGGAGGGGCATCACAGAGGAGAAACTGTTCATAGCAGGTAGAAGGGAGCAAAGCAGGGAAGTAGCAAGCAACAAGCAGTGACCCTGTTCCTGTCCCTTCTATCTCATCCAGACTCTCCACCCTTAGGACAGGTAGGACTCACACCCCGGGTGGGGCGGCCTTAACCCAGCATCGCACCACGAATCGATCCCAGCATCCCATCCTTGATCAGAGCAGCACACACTCTAGATCCAGCCACCTCCGAAAAGTCCTACCTGTGACCTCACAGGGCTTTGAGAGGACATCTAGATAGAAGCCATGCCAGTGGGCAAATATCACCACTAACAACAAAGCTCAGTTACTTCAGCTTTGCAAGGGGGAAGAGGGCAGCGGAGCACTTGGCTCATCTCTGCATTACTTTTAGTTTTAGGGTTTGAAAACTTTGTTGTGTTTTCCCCTCAAATCATCTGAGGACATTCAATAAACAGCCCAAAAGAAAACTCCGTACCTGATCTCGGGCTCACAGGGAAGGCCTGCCTCTTTCCTATGTCATGACTGGCAATTGAAGACCTTTCTTTTATTTTAAAGGGGAGAATATGGATTAACTCACTCCTTAGATTTATCATTTACTCTTACTTATGGTTTTGTTGTTGTATTTTTGTTTTTGTGGTTCTTGGGGTGGAACCCATGGTCTTGAACATGCTAGACAATCATTCCACCTCTGAGCTACATGCCTAGTCCCTTACCTTGTTTAAAGTAATCAGATTCTACATAAAAACAGTACACACACACACACACACACACACACACACACACACACCTCAAAAACACACACTAGATTCCTAAATTTGCCTGGCCCTGTCAGATTCCATTTTCATCAACTGATTTAAAGTCTTTCTGGTAACAAAAATATGGCATTCCTTTTAAAATTTATTTATAACAATGTTTCTATTTGCCCACATTCTGGAGAAGAAATTTCCCTATTTCTGATGCTAAAAATGTTTCTCAAATAAAATGACAAGTATATCTTCAGGAAGTTGATCAGCTTCCTGAAACCTATTCCATTACACTTTTCTCTTCTGGAAATTCTCAGCTCACAGCAAAGTTCATGGCAGAAGAGAGGAGTCACACATCTTGGTTTTGTTCATCTTGCACATAACACGTGCTGTGCGGCACATAAATCTCTCAGCCTGTCTGTAGTGCATGCCTGGGACTGTCGCTGATTTTCCTTTGTGACACTGGGGCTGAAGTAACAGGCACCGGGACTCCTGCAACAGGCACCGGGACTCCCATATATATTTTATTGGTCACAATTTTTATTTAATGTGGGCTACAGCTCCTGGCCGCTTGCTCCCCTGAGCCAGAGGGGAGCTGAAGGTGGAGGGGACTTTGCAACTTTATTTCCCTATGGTGCTCAGAGGAGCCACACCAGGTTCTTCCTTCCAGGGAAGCACACAAGTCTCCCAGTCCAAGGCCCACATCCATTGTACATGCAGATGCAAGGTGGTGGTATTGGAAAGCAGAAAAGGGCTATGATTGGGTGCTCCATCCTGGGGGTCTCCACCACTCCACACTGCTCTTCTATGAGACTGGAAAGCAGGTGGTCTTTGCTTTACTGTGTCAAGTCCTGCTGGTTCGATTTGTAAAGTATTCCCTCTACCTGTTCCTCCCTCTCTAGTGTTCCTCAGCTACCAGACTTCGGTCTCTCATTATCTTCTAGGTTTGCCTTTGGGAACTTTGTTGTGAATAATTTACACAAATAAACTGCATCTGTTGAAAGTATACACAAGTTGAGTATCCTGTATCCGAAACTCATAGCACCAGAAGCATTTTGGTCCTAGTTTTTTTCTTTTTCTTTTTGAATACTTGCATAGACTTTACTGGTTGAGTATCCCTGTTCAAAAATCCCACACTGGAAATGCTCCAGAATCTGAGACTTTTTGAGCATCACACCAGTGCTGAAAAGTTTAGGATTTTTTAAGCATTCTGGATTTAAGATTTTCAGATCAGAGATGCCTAGTAGCACAGTGAACAGCCACCACATTCGAGATACAGAACGCGTCTATCACCCCCAAAGGTTCTCAGTTTCCCTTTGAAATCTGTCTCTTCATTCCTACCTACTAGGCACCTCCTAGGGTGTTGTTTTTGTCACTGCAGATGTGTTGCCTTTTATAGAAGTGGAATCATGAAGTATTACTTCTCTGTGCCTAGCTCCTTTTGCTCAGCGTAATGATTTGACCCTTCTGAGTTGGGTGCAGTCCTTTTTATTGCAAGGTAGTGATTGTCCCCTGAATGTATCAGTTTATCCATTCACTCATTGATGTACATTTGAGTCATTTCCAGTCCGGGACTCTGGAGAATAAAGCAGCTATGAACACATTGTACAAGTCATCATGTATACATCTGTCTTTTTTCCTCTTAGGTAAATTCCTAGTAGTGGAATAGCTGAGAGATAGGGTAAGTGTAGATTTTTCTTTTTAAGAGGCCCGTGAAACAGTTTTTCAAAGTGGGTGTAGCTTTTTGTATTCCTGCTAACAGTTTGAGCTTACCAGTTTCTCAATATCCTCATCTTCTTTTGGAAAATATAGCCTTCCTCGGGTGTGTGTATTGGTATCTCATCATGGTTTTAATTTACATTACTTCGGTGACTAGTGATATTCAGTGTCTTTTCTTACTGAGCATCTTCTGTGGCTTATTGGCCACTTATAGGTCTCTTTTTCTTTGAAGCATATGTTCAAATCTTTTGCCCTTTATTACACTATTTGATTTAATTCTTACAGATTATAAGAATTCTTTGTTTGTTTGAGCCAGGGTCTCACTATATAGTTCAGTCTGGCTTTGGACTCATTATGTAGCCCAGGTTGGCCTTGAACTCAAGGCAATCCTCCTGCCTCACCCTCCTGAGTGCTGGGATCACAGGTGTGCACCACCATGCTTGGCAAGAATTCTTTACATATTTGGGATCCAGTCCCTTTGTCAGATATACATACCGTGAACATTTGTTCATTCTGCAAACTTGCTTCTCTTTCATTTCCTTGGTAAATATTGAACAGATTTTTATTTTGAGCTTTGTTTTTAAGAAACTTCAAGTAATCATTTTTCTTTTACGATTTATGCTTTTTGTGTTCTGAGAGATCGTTGTCTACTACAAGGTCACAGATGCCTACTCCTGTCGTTTCCTCTGATAATTTGATTTGGAATTCTTTCTTTTTCCTTTTCTTTATCGTTCCTTTCTTCTCTCCTTTGCTCTTCATTTTCCTCTTTCTTCCCTCTTTTTCGATCTGCCTACCTAGAAGGTTATCTATTTTACTGATTTTTCTTTGAGACATTAAAATAGCTTTTGGCTTTGCCAATTTTTTCCTATTGTACCTGTCTGCTTTCTGTTTCACTTAGTCTTATTAAAGTATTTTTTCTAATTATTTTGGGATTACTTTGCTCCTTTTTTCTAGTATGTTGAAATAGAACCATAGGTAATTGATGTTAGACCGTTTGTCTTTTTTAGAGCCATAAATGTCCTTTTTAGAGCCTAAATCTCCTTCAGCAGCATCCTACATCTTCAATAGTCTGCATTTTCATTAACACCCATTTCAAAATATTTTCTAATTCCTTTGAGATTTTTCTTTGATTTATGGGTTGTTTAGAAGTGTTCTCTTTAACGTACCTCTTCTCACTTGATTTCACATACTATCTGATACACACTCATTTTTGCTGATTGCATTAAATTGCCATAAATATACTTTTTAAAAAATTGCTGTGCTTCCGTGGGTGCTTGATGTGCAGACAGTGCTCCCATGAAATAGAAGAAAGGATTTGAGGATATATGTCCACCATTCACTGAGTTCCACCTGGGGCGCGTTTGCTAACTTTGCCTCTTATGCCCTCCTTGCAGTAGGCCCTAGATGCAGTGTTCTGTGAAATCCTCCTGGCTGAAGTTGTTTTTTTTTTGGTACCGGGGATTGAATTCTGGTCCTTGCGCTTGCAAGGCAGGCCACTGAACTGCTGAGCTGAATCCCCAGCCCTCTGGCTGAAGTCTTTACACTGAGAAGTGATAAGGCCACAGAGTCCCTAGAGTTTCCAGCAAAGGCAGACCTCCTCTGCCTTTCTCTCCCTTGTGAGTGGGAAAGCACAGGCATTTCCAGGGAAGGTGTGTGTGTGTGTGTGTGTGTGTGTGTGTGTGTGTGTGTGTGTGTGTGTGTGAATGGTAGGGTTTCCCTACGGTAAACCTGCACTGGGCATCTATACTAAGGATGGGGCAGTAGTTGCAGAGCCCAAAGATCTGTCCGAGCTTGTTAGCTGCTTGGGAGCCTGGAATACATTCTCTTATACCACTTCCTGTCTAACAGAAAGGATCCATAGTTTTTATACCACTTCCTATCTGTCCGAAGAAATTCTTAGTGTTCATACTACTTTCTGTTTAAAGTAAGGGACCCATAGGCCTTTAATCCCATAGAACACAGGTTTATTGGAGATTACTGCATTGCTTCTTGGCATCGCTCACCAGGGGGGAGCTGCTGAGCTGTAACTCACATTTTGTCTTTCAAAGTTTGAGCTACTGTTTCTATAGAACTTTTACTTTTCTCTGTGCTACCTAATGACTTGACCTAGTGCCTCAGCTTCAACTCCAATTTAAAAAGAAGAAAAAGCAAATACTTTAATATTGTCTAGTTCCCTAAATGACATGCTAATTGTAAAAGTATTTAAACATTTATTTATTTGATAAATTTTATCTTGTATCTCCCACATGTCATTCATCAAGAACTCAGCCAAGAAGATCGATAGGGTAATTGCCTCTTAAAAAATTAATGTATATGTATTATTCATAGATACCATTTTATATATATTTATATATTTTCAGAAAGGCATCTGAAATCTCAATAAAGTTGACCATTGTTAGCGTCTTTCTGAAAGTTTTCCTGCCCTTTACGTTTAAGATACCATCACTTCCTCTATTTTCATTTCAATATCCTCAGATTTCTTGCTCCTCTGTTGTTCAATTTCCCCACGGGGCAAATTCTCAATTCTTGAGCATCTAATCATCCACCTATGAAATGTTTGGTTCTGGCCTGGAAAAAAGAAAAAAGAAAAAAAAAGAAAACTATTCAAAATGCTAATTTTAGTCCCAAGGAGCCTGTTCTATTTTATGTTTGAGATTCTGAATTTTCCACACCTATGAAATACGAATTATTAAGTTATAGAGGTATTTCCCACTAAATTAAATTAATAGACTCATTTTATAGTTTTAATGAGAGAGTGTTAAAAGTTGAGCTGCACCTTGTTTGGCAAAAAAAGCAATAAATATCTAAATTCCTATCAATAAGATTCATGCAGTGGAATGCCGTGAACCAATTAAAATAGTTTGTTGATGTAAAAAGAAAACTAATAAACTAGAAAGATATCTACAATGAATTTTTGACCAAAGAAAGAACACATTATAGTATGTGCACTAGAATGTGCATATGTAGTGGATATAAAGAAATACTGCTTTCACTTATGTAAAATTGGATATACAGTAAGTATACATACAGAAAACTATGGATTTGATTGCTTCAACTTCTGGTGTATTAGATACTCAACAAATACATTGTTTTGTTTGAATAAGGAGTTGCGTGTGATAGAGTCATGGGGGGAAAATCCGATAATACATATAAATTGTATTATGCATATTTGTTAGAAAACATATTTGGTTCACTAAAAGTACTTGTTTTCCCTCCTCTCTAGAATAATGAACTTCAAAGCAGGTTGGATTATTTAACAGAAACCCAGCCAAAGACTGAAGTAGAAACCAGAGAGATTGGAGTGGGCTGTGATCTACCCAGGTATTTAAGGATTTCCTGTTTTTCTCACTGAGTCTTCTTTGACTTAACAAAATACTTTACTGGGGTGTTATTAACAGAATTACATTTTTTTTTCTACCAAGAATATTTCTGCAGATCTAAGTGGTGGCTGCTGAGGGCTTGGACTGGTTTTTGTGGGAACAGTTGTCCTGGGCAGAGGACTGTGGGTAGGGAAGGAGGGACCAGGCAAGGCCACTCCAGAGGGGGCCTGATCTCATCAGTGAGCGTGTACATTTTTTTATTCATTCATTTATTCAGCAAATGGCCATAACTACCTTCCTGTCCTAGACAGGCTGCTGAGAGGTGGGGGTCCTGCTCATTGCAGTCTGGAGGGACAGACAGACAACTGTGTGAGAGGGCATACAAGGCGCCTTCATGGTACAGCAGAGGCAGGCTCTAAATCTGGAGCCAAATGAATCTGTCCCAGAGCTGTAGAAGATTACTGGGGAGCAGTGGACCTGGTGCCTACATAGATGTGCTTCCATTGCCCACACACATGTGGCAGTGACAGCTTGGTTCACTCAGCTCTACTTCTGGGCTAGGACTGGGTCCCTCCTGAGTGAGATGCAAGCCAGGACCCAGGAACTTGCCTTCCAAGTCTCACTCTTGGTTTCTAGGGGTATGCAGTGTGCTTGGCCTAGGTATCATGAAGCAAATGTACTAGAAGGGTGCTAATTACACCTGACTTATTATTTAGGTGATTTGGGTCATGAGATGCCTGTGTGTCCTCTGTGCGGGAGGGGACTTTTCTGTAGGAAAGGCATTTCTGGGTGCTGTGCTAGATGTGAGTAGTCTGGAAAAAACAAATCCTGGAACCTTGAGTGGCTCCATCTGTGGGGAGCAGTGAAGAGCCCATCGCCAAGCTGAGAGGTGGAATATTTGGCTTCAGTCCTCTCCACCAGCAGGTCACTCTTAATGGGGCCTGTGTTTCCTGTTCTGTAAAGCCAGTGAGGTGACCAAGTGTCTTCTGAGGTCCTCAGCGTTTCTAATGTTAAAACCGTATTTCCTGACTTTACCTTTTCAATTCATTACTGATGGTTTCGCTGCTGCTGTTGTTTTCATTAAAGTGAGACACTTGCTGTTCTCAAAGAACTTACCCAAAGCAGCACCAGGCTCTTTCTTTGATGATATTCTCATTTCACATTGCTCATCTTTTAGTAAAAACAAGGCGATTTTATCATTCTGATACAATTAAGAGAAAAATGTCTAAAAAAGAAAGGAATACATAAACTCCAATTCTCAGCACTATATGATACAACATACATGATACAGATATAACCAAAAAGAATAAACAGTTGTGTTCAGTGGCTTCTTTTAAAATACAAATACTTTAGCCACTTCCCCTCCTTTTTCTTTTTCAAGAACCAAGTGGCTCAGTCCACTCTAATTGCCCACATAATAAATTTTGCTTGGCTAAGACGGGTACAAAACTATGTCTGAAACCAATAAATTGTTTTGTTTTCTAATTCCCGAATTTTGGCTTAAAACTAGCTTTCCAATTTGTATGCCCAAGTACAGCCCGAGGCAAACTTTTACGGTGAAGTTATGAAACCACAAAGCGGTTTTCATAATGGAAGTGCTGACAGACCCTTAACTTATGGCCACGGTGAACTTGGAAGCCACTCCAGTGTCTAAACGCAGCTTTTCCATAAAAGGAACATTTGGTTTCCCCCAGGAGCCCTCTTAGCGCTTTAACTGCCTCGGCCAGTCAGCGGAGGAAACGAGAACAACACATACGTGCTTCCGCAAGCGCAGAAGGACGTTCCGTTGGCTCCCTTACAGTTCTTTACGAAGTGCCTACTCCGTGAAGGGCACGGGCAGGCACCAGTGGTGAAAAGACAGGATCTTTGAAGATACCTGGGCGGGGTCAGTGGTCCCCCAGTGCCCCTGGCCTTGTGGAGCTGCCTGGCTTGGAGCTGGGCTCCAGGATGGGTCTTGTGCTTGGGCCTGAGGAGATGCTTAGCAGGAGCTGGTCTGGGGGACCTTATCCCTCCTCCCAACCACCCAAGAAGGTCAGTTTTCAATCTGTTTTGCATCTTGAGGATCACAAACAAATCAGAACCTCTGGCCAACAGTACCTGCCTCTGATGCTTGTAGGACTTCTCTCTCCTGGTTCCTTCCCTGCCTCCCTGGCCTGTCATCCTCCATTTTCTCTGATGGTCCCTCTTTATCCTCCAGGATCTCCTTGTGGTTCTTGTCTTGGTCACAGATATTTGCGTCTGGTTTTGTAGCTTTACCATGGATGGGCCACAAGGCCATATGAACAGCTCTCAAACACAATTCCTGTTGCTATCACCTGCTGGCTTCTCCCTGCCAGTGTCACCTTGATCCTCCTGCTTGTCATTTCCACGAAATGATTAAGAATACTGGCTTAGAAGTTAGATATGGAGCTGAGTCTTAGGTCTGCCTCCTGCTTCCTTCTCAACCTCCGAGGGTTTCAACTTCCCCACCCTGAAAGGAAGGTGTGATGGCATCCCCTTAGAAGTAGGCTGGGAGGACCCAGTGAGGTACCAAGGGCGGAGTGCCCAATGCCGTGCCCACACATTCTTGTTTCTGTGGAAGCTGCTGCCACTTCTCAGTAACCCAAGCTTGGTATCCCACAGTCACCTCTAAGACAGGGGATTATTTTTCTCTGAAACTCCGTTGCGCCATCTGTACTGTCCTTTTCCTCCATGACTTGCCTTAGACCTCCCCTTTCCTACTGCCACCAGCCTGTCTGAGGCCAGTCCTCCCTTGTCACATCTCTTCAGGGCCACCCCCTGCCCCCCACTTGACCTCTGCTTCCCTGCATCCAGGGAGTGAGGATCTCAGAGTGAGGAAAGAGGGGGACAGTTGTGAGGGTCGGGGCTTTGAAACACTGGTTTTATTTTTGAAGACAAGAGTTTGGTTTGAAAAGTGGAGCGTGTTAGTTAGAGCCCGTGCTAACTATTTTAGGTCATGTAGGCTTCATTTACAGAGAAAAGTGAAAGTCCAAAAGAAGAGTCTTTTCTTTCTTCTGTCCCTTAGTGAACTGAAATGTGGTTTCCAGTAAATTCATCAGTCATGTCTTAAGGTACAATTTAATGAAAAATATTTCACAGTCATAAGTGCCTGGCACATAGTGCCTTGAAATGCTTGCATTTTCTTGTGTTTTGCTGTAGAGATCAGAACACAAGGCAGCGTTTTATCAAAGCTTTCTTTTTCTGATTCTGCTGTTGCATCCCCAGGGGATCCTACCCCTTTGTGGATTAATAAATGTTAAAAGTAACCTGAACATGTTAAAGAAAATGGGTGAATTCCAACTCTGTGGTTGGAATTATTTGTGTTCTTGAAATCCTAGTGATCAGCTTCATAAAATACCCCACTTATTTTCTGAAAAGATTGGGATATTCGTGCCTGTTTCAGAAACCCAGAAGTTCACCTTTATAAATATTTCTGCACTTTATGGGCTTTTAGGGTATTGTCACCAGAGACCAATTCTGTTATGTGGAATTTTCACAGGAGTTGGCACAAGTTGCCATCTGGCTTGTGCCTTTGTTGTTCTCCTAAAATGCCTGGTCAGGTCACCAGGGGCTCTGGAGGTGCCGAGCCTCATGGATTCATTGGTCTCTGCGGCAGATGACACTGAGCACTCACTCTGCACAAGTCCCTTGCTCGACCTGCTTGTCATTGTCTTCTGTATGTGAGGCGATAGCTCCATGTGCAGCCTGTGTGAGCTGCTGAGGTCATGAGATGACCGAGATGTGATTTTTCACCTTCATAGAAATTATACCCGGTGGTGGAAATGAACGCACAGAACAATGAACGTAATAAGAGATGCTTCTCATTGAGCATCAGAATTCTGTGCAGTAGTCATTCCCAAGGTGTCTGTGGGGGTGGAAAGCATAGACGAGACACACTGCCTCTCCTGCAGGGTACATAACACCTACCCACTATGCTTCCGATGCACCTTGTATCACTTAGTGAATGACTAGAAGTTAGGAGGAAGGGAGATGCCTTATTTCACATACTTTTTGTTATTGTATTAGGATAAGGAATAGCTGTGATATGGAACAACCTACAAATCCTAGTAGCTTAGCACCATAAAGATTAACTTCTCATATATCATAGTTCAAGGAAGCCTGGCATAGGTCTTCCTCCACACAATCACTCAGGACACAGGGGTCCTCTGTCTAGTGACCCCCTGGGCTTTGGGAGCTTCCTGAATTCTTTGCTTTACCCTCTGCCTAAAAGGAAACATGGAGGATTAGGTGGAAAGTTTGTACAGGCTAAAGCAGAAATCACATGGGTCATTTCTGCCACTTGGTCATATGGCCCACCTAACCGCAAGGGAGGCTGGGAAATGTAATTAGGTATCCAGGAGGAACACAACACGGGATAAGTCTCCATCATAATCATCAAATCCTATAAATTCTACCTCCCAAAATATCTCCCTGCTACTTCACCTTCAGTGTTCCTGTTAGAATCTTATGATATCTCTTTCACCTCCTAACTAGCAAGGATTTTCTCATCTACTTTCAGACCAACCTTTCCATAGACAACCCTCAGTGGTAGCAGAAGAATCTTGCTAAAATAAAAATATGAGCATATCACGGTTCCTTAAGAACTTGTAATGATTCCCCATCCCATCCTCTGCGGCTCTTTGTTATAAACCCTGTGTCTGTTCCACATCCAAACGCACCACCCCTTCTTCCTGGATCTCCCCTGTCTCCTACTGATGAGTGCCGGCATCCCTCAGGGTTCCCTCCCCTGTATGAAGTCCTGCATGTGAATTTCTTGGCATCACTGAATTGTTCTTTCTCCAACCACCCATCGTGTGTTCTTATGTTGCTCACAGTCCTGGTAGGAATGGAAGATGAAAAAGCACTTAGTGAAAGGGCTACTGACAACTGTAAGGGAAATAAATAAAGGCCAGTCATGTTCTCTTGAGCTAGCAGCTGCTGGTAAAGTTTGTCTTAGAGGCTTCAATGGTGTCACAGTGGTGGGCAGGTATGGGGAACTCGAATAGAGGTCACGTGTTGAGGCTGGAAGCAACAGGCTAAAGATAGGCACTTTCTTTATAACAAATGGCTCTCAGAAACAAATCTGCCCCAATGAGACTGACCACTACCACCGAAAGCATTAACCCAGCACCTCCTCACCCCCGACTTCCTAAGAGCTCCACCACCTCAACACCACCACAGAGATTACCAAACTTCCAGCTTTGGGGGCCACACTCAAGTGCTGGGGGAGAAGGCTAGCAAAAGAGAGCCAGGGAAGAGCTGTATTGCAGCTTTGGAAGAGGAATGTAGGGTTGGCTACTACCAGTGGCAGCCTGACTGGGAGGGGACAGATGTCCTGACTACTCTGCCACCTGTTCTTGGGTCCCTGTTGCCATCTCCTGGTTGGTCAGAGTGAGGTGGGTGTAAAGAGCAAGGGGCCCACTGGTGTGAGCTGCAGTTCGGCTTCCTAGAGCATAAACCAGATGGGAAGGAGGGACAGCTGGGTAAGTGGAGGGTGTGCAGCACAGCTCTGCGTGTCTGTACCGTGACACCTAAGACATGGTATTAGAATTATTCCAAACTATGAGCTTCTTGAGTGCATGTCTGACACGTTTTTCTGAATCATCGATGCCTACTACAACCTTTAAAAGTTGCTAAAAATGATAGTCTTATCTTAGTCTGAGCTGCTATAACAAAACATCATAAAATAGGAAGCTTACAACAGCAGGAATGTATTTCTCACTATTCTGAAGGTCAGGAAGCCCAAGGCCAAAGTACAGCACCAGCAGATTTGGCATCTGGTGAGGCTCTGTTTTATGGCCCCTAAATGGCAGTTTCTTGTGTTCACACATGACAGATGGGAACAATGGATCTCTCTGGGGATCTATCTATCTATCTATCTATCTATTTCTTTATTATTTATTTCTGATTTTTTTTAGACAGGGTCTCACTATGTCGTTCATGCCAGACTTAAACTTATGATGTAGCCCAGGCTGGCTTTGAACTGCAGCAATCCTCCTACCTCAGTCTCCCAAGTGCTGAAATTATAGTGTGCATCATCATACCTGGCTCTTTGGGGTTCCTTTTATAAGGACACTAGTCCATTCATAAGGGTTGTGCCCTCATGTCCCAATCACCTTTCCTGTCAGGACCTAACTCCTAATGCCATGATCTTAGGGGTTAGGGTTTCAGCATACAATTTTTGGGGAGGACTAAAGCAGTTTATTGGAGCATTTAAATGTTTAAATTAAATCTTAAAGTGCATTATTGCCTTCTTTTTACGGGCTGAAAGGCCATTTCTCAGAGTCATCTGCCTATGTGAAGAATATAAGGGTTTTGTTTTGTCTTCCTGATCTGCCTCTTCTCCTCTCCCAGCCAGCCAGGCAGGACCCGTGAAATGACAATGCCTTCTCGGAGCTACACCCCATACACAAGAGTCCTGGAGTTGACCACGAAGAAGACGCTGACCTAAGCACATGGCTACATGAGACACACGCACTTTTTAATAAATAGATGAAGGCCCAGGAACCTGCGTCTTGAAGTCAGGAAAGGGTGACTGTCACTTCTTCACAGGTACAGTGTAAGACACTATGGAAACTGTTGAAGCTGTGATCTACTTCTATGACAGGAAGGACTGGGAAGGTGGAGAGACGGGCAAGGGAGAGGCATACAAGGTCACATGTCAGGCACTCAACCAGACTATTC